GCCAAACCTGCCTATATAAATCTCAGCTATCTCAAAATGTCATGTATGGGGGAAGTGAAAAATTAAGAAGGTGTTTCTGTCTTAATAGGGTATGGAGGCAAAAGGTTCTGCTTTTAATTCTTCTTAGGGATGACGTTTCTCTGGTTGATACCTGGGAAGAATTAAAGAGAAGCTGGAAAAAAATACATACATGTATTGTGCCAAATAACTGCTCTTTTTTTTACTGATGTAAATCTGGAGGAGAGCCACTAAAGAGTCTGGAATTAGTCTGGCTTTGTCCCAGTGTAGCTGACAGCAAACTGAGAGCCCTTCAAATTAATAATATTAAATCTCAGCGTTGTTAAGATTTTTCATTTTGGCTATAGCGGCCATTGTTTGTTTGAACAAAAAGAGGAAAAAGAAATCATCTGAAGATACTTATATACTGCTGCACAAGTGAGAATAGAAAGAAGACTAGGCCAATGCGAAAATCAAGGGTAAGAAAATAGTTTCTGTAACCATTGTTTGCATATGTTTATTCTTGTCTGACAACACCACACCACACTTAGGGGTCCATTTACACAGGAAAAAAAGAGGTGGTATGCAGGGCTGGATTATTAACTCAAGTATTAGGTAGTATAATCCAGGCATAAATCCTGCCAGTTTGTGAATTTTCACCCATGGGCTTTATATTTTTCTCACTTAATATTGTGGTCATTGGAGTTACTCCTGACTAGTACCAAGGTGGTTAACCTCAGAGTCAGGCCCTCTGCATGCTGTGTGGGTTTGTGAACCAGATGCTCCGTGTGACAAAGTGTGTCAATTAGCCTGGAGTACTTGTTGAGCCTCAGTCCATCTGGGATTCAAAGGTAGTTTGTTACCTCCGAGGTGGGGGGTTTTAGATGAATGTGTCATCCTACTCAAATTCATTAGATGAAAAGTGAGTATCATCTTACATTACATAAGTTCAGCTGGAATGTATACAATGTCAGTACTATGGGAGAAGAAAACATGTGTTGAATACATCTAGTGTGTCTTGGGGCTCTGAAGGTCACTCCACTGAAGTAATATATAGTGCTGGTGCTAGTGGCTCAAGGTCAAGTCAGCTTGCTTTTCATAATGCATAAACCTCAAGCTCGCTCAGACACCAATCATCTGACCTAAACCTTGGAACAAATATTTTACTAAGTAAATCAGTGAGCATGCTGGCATTTCTATTAACCTTCAATGCACTGGTGACAGAAAATGAATAATGATAAATAATAACTCAAGCCTGTAAATCATGCTCAGCATCAGAGGGAAAAAAAAAAAAAAAGGTCTGGTGTACTACCATCTGCTAGGCTGGCTGAGCCTGTAGGGAGAAACCCACAACAAAGGCAAATGTGCTTTATGTGCTTTCTCCCTCCCACAGCAGTTCCCTGGGTTTGAAATTTGGGGGTGGGATGGAGTGAGTTTTACAGAGACTGGTGAGAGAAAGAGTTGAAAGTGAAAAGCTGAATGTACACAAACTGCAGGGAGTCTGAGTAAGAGGAGCTCTGTTACTCAAGGTGGTAGTGTTGTTTGGTAAGCTTTGAAGTGGATGAACTCTTTTCTTTCCATACTCTCCCACTGACTGACCACTGGCAGCTCTCTGATGGTAGGCAAAAGATAACAGACTTCCAGCAACTCACCAATGCTGAGGACATGCTTGGTTTATTTCCCTAGTGCTCTTTCATTTAATTTTGTTGTTTTCCTTTCAGTTTTGCTACTGATTAGGGTCACCATAGCCACACTATGGCCTTAGGGAAATTAAGCTCATAAATTGTGAAGAAAAGACACATATATATCTTCCACCCTATGATACTTCCACATATATATCTTCTATATCTTCCACCCTACGATACTTTCACATGTTTCAGCTTCATTCAGAAGTGCTCTGATTCTCATACCCTTTAGATTTTTTTAAGGTCTAATTTTAGACAATTAGCATTAATTTGCTATTGAGTTTGTTGGAAGAAAGGTTCTTCTTACCTATGTTGTTTAAAACATTTCTTTCACACAATCTTTTTATTTTCCCTTTCTGACATTTTTTGGATAAAGAAATAAGTGCTGATGGATCAGTGGATTGAAGTACATCTTGTGTTGAGCTCACCTCCCTAGCTAGGAATGCATTTGTAATGGATTGTCAAGTTGGGGACCCTGGACACATTTGTGACCCCGCTACAAGAAGGGAAGACAGCATGCATCACATAAGGTTGCTGCTTCCAAAAATCACAGTGGACTCACATCAAGAACCCTTGTCCTTTCACAAAAGGGTGTGCTGTGACACTGGAATAGGAAGGAATATAGGGAGTGGAAGCACAGCCTAATGTTTGCTTTCTGTGGGATCACAGCAGGAGGTGTGCTCAGCACCTGGTACGGAGTGATAGGAAGAATATAACACGCAGTAGTGGCCGTGTTTGTTGTGGAATCACAAAAAAATGGGTCAAACAAATCTAAGCCAGATATGTGAGGAAGGATGAAGTGAGAGGATAAAGAGAGTTAGGGGCTTGAGTTCATACCTGTAATTAATTTTTTGTCAGAAATGAGTGTGAAGCAGAGTTTGAACTTTTCAAAGAGTAAAAGCATTCTTTTTTTTCAGTCTGGAAAGCAGGCAAGGGCCAGTCATGATGTTAAGATTCATATCAGAGTTCAGATTTGCAACAGACCATTGTCAGAAACATACTATCTGCCTGATTTTTTTTTGTGTTCTTTTTGACCACCTCTCTCTTTTGACCAAAATAAAAATAAAAGTATTGCCCGCCATCTGAACTCATGTTACTTCCAATGATTTTGTTTAAATTATATTCTTAACTCGATAAAGTGATAACATAATTTACAATGCAGTAACCATCTGACATCATAAAAAATATCTCAATCAGGATACTTAATCCCTTACTTGAGTCTCAGGACTGGTATCCTATGGAATAGAAGGGAAAGTATGGAAACCCCAGTGTTTCTGTCGCTGCCAAAGTACCATTTATTTAAAGCCAATTTGGAAAGGGCCCTTAACATAAGAAAATTAAGTGAAAAGGATTTCTATAAACCTCATGCCAAACTTCACGCAAGTAGAATGAGTAATAGTAAATTTCTAAACTTTGGCATCTTTGTTTAATTAAGGGTCTACTTTTTGAAAAATGTCAGAACCTCAGAAAAAGAAATTATATTATTCCACTAAAATGGCTGTGTGGACAGTACTTCCAAGAGAAAATGTATTATCCTGAGAAATTATGTAGAGGTAGCTGCTGCATTAATATACATGCATTTCACAGATAACTTTAGGAAAAATTAGCCTTATCCCAAAGGGACCATCACTAAACATAATTTATTCTGTCCTTTGCTATATCCTGACTTGCCCTTGAGGAGACATTTCCCATTAAGCAAAAGTGAGCTTAGCTCATATATGTTAGGTGTCTGGTGTTGACTATTCCCAGTAAAAGTCAACAAATTAATTTTAAAGTCTCAGTGTTGATTGGTAATCTGAACTTTTGCATCCCTATCCTTATATCTTTCTGAATAGTATAAAAATAATTTAACCAAAACTGAATAAATGCAAAAAAAGGTAAGAAAGATGGTTGTGAAAAAGAATGTATAGTACTTTCATTATACTTAATTTAGCTGAGGCTGTTCAATTGTTTGGTGACTTTTTAATTTATTTTATTTTGTGGCTAATATGAACTGTGGCTGAAAATAATAATTCAATTAATACACCATTGCAATAAAAAGATTTATATTTTTCTTAACAGTAATGTTTAAAAGGCACAGAGTTTTTTTTGCTTGCTGGTTAATTTGAAGCAATGAAAAGAAATTAAGAGAAATCATCTGGTTTTTACAACTTAAGAAACTCAAACACAAAGAGTTCAAGTGGTCTTCCCAAAGGTTTCACAGCAAATGAACACACAACCAGAGCCACAAATTTTTCTTTATATTAGCTGCAAACTGTAATGAAAAAAAATGAAGATATGGTAAAAGGGGAATTCCAGTTTTATCTGGGAAATACATAGCCTGATATCTGTGGCCCAGTTGTTGTTAGTCTTATGCAATTACACACACACCCCTCAATGAAAAAAACCTCCATATATATCCAAGTTGAAATAATCATGAACAAATGAACACTCTGACCTTCTTTTTAAACTTTTGAGGAAATTGCCCCAACAATCTATAGCCAGAGAAGGAGAGAAAACTCCTTAGTAATTAGTATTTAGTAACTACTTTATAATGAGAATGTATCAATTTTGAAGTGATTGTCTTCAGTTAAAATCTGATGTATTTTTAGCAATTCATATTTCTGTTGAAAGGAAGGACAGTATGCTGAGTAGAGCTTGGGGCATGGTGATTACTCAGCCACCTTTATTAAAAACTACTTAAAATTCTATTTAACTGTAAGCACACACATAGCAGGGCTGGAGTCAGAGGCCAGAGCACACATGGGGAAGATTGTGTGCACAAAAATGACACCACAGAAGTAGTTGGTAGTGGATCTATCTAAACTTATGTGCTCCTCTTCACACTATTGGGAACCTAGGTTCACAGCTGAGCTTTGGTAATCGGAGAAACAAATACTGGTGCTTTAAAACTAGTCATCCATTTTTCTAGTCAATTTGATCCCATGTGTTTACATGTGGATAATAAGAAAGTTCTAATTGAGGGCACAGCAACTTTTCATAAAAATCATGTTATGTATGGAAAACCTGCTAAATAATTAACTATTTTCATCTCTGTTAGCAGACCTTTTTGCCACTTCTGACTTCATAGAATGACCCCAAACATTTTGCTGTAAATACTTTTTAAATTGGGAGAGGACTTAAAGGACATTTTCAGAAAAATTTAAACTCCTAATTATAAGGGACCAGCAGATGTTCTTCATCTAGTTTCACCTTTCCAAAAAGATATTTTCTGAAAAGAATGTATATGTTAAGACAATGCTATATAAAGAAGCTTATTTTTCTTTTCCCACAAATTCCCCTCTCTCTCCAAATTTGGTTTTATAACTATAGCCACAATTATTTTTTTAACATGGATCTTCAAACCCCCATTATAAGTTTCTTTGTGCATCAAACTGTTCAAAATACAATATACTTACAAGGAAGACAAATTAATTTCATAACTGAAACATGTTACAGCTGGTTGAGAGTCTATTTACCTGATGATTTAGATATTGACAAAAGGCCTTTCTTGGTGCATGACATCTGTGTGTCTCTCTAAAAAATTCGGTAGTATTGATGTTTGGGTAATAGATGTTCATAGTATCTGCCTCTGTACCTCAAAAAAAGGATATTTTTTTATGTTTGACTGGGTTTAATATAAGGACAGAAATGGAAGTAATTGTCTTGTGAGGTTGTGTCTACCTAGCTTACAGGTTTGAAAATTCCCAGGGTATTAATATACATTTTATCTTCTAGAATGGTTATGCACACTCTGAACTCTCAAAATAATATATCAAATACCCAAGGCTCAACAGGCCCTGATCTGCATGAATACTAGCTGGAATTTTCTAAAAGCACTTTCATTAAAATTAAACAGTGACTTCTTTTACATTGATGGGTCTATGACTGATGGCTCTGAAATTCATGTCACAAATAAATGAATGGCCCTTCAACTATTTCACATGTACTTACAGACAGGCAAATGTGATATATTGCATCCACAGACATCTCAATGAACATAATCATGATATCACAATATATCATGTTACACTTGTATATGTTCAGGTCACATAATTTACCATCAGCAGTGTGAGGTTTAACAGGGTTGAATTATATGGATGCTGCATAGAACACTTTGGATGCATTATGCTGATGCTTTGGACTTTAAAATGTTAATATTGCAAATGAAAGGTACACTTTGTGTATCATAAATCTGAGTGTCTATTCTTTCTGTGTACTCAATAAATACACTTCTCATCAACTTTTAATTATGCTGTTTGCATTATTCTGTCCTGAAGAGGATAACTCTCTGTAAATCATCCTCTTCTAATGTACACTGCAGCATAAGTTTAGTTAATTAAACCATATATTTTATTAGTACTTGCACTTCCATCTTGTAAAACTGCTAGGAAAAAAAATAGAGAGAGGTTTTTATTTATTACAGCTGAGTTTAAGATGATATTACAAAAGTTTAGCAGGGTTAGATGTGCATATTGCTTTTGCCTGTAGCTTACTCACAAATACCCAGCCTCAGAAACTTTCTGTGTACCTATTGCTATGAAAGTGGGAAGCTTCTTGAACATGTTGATATATGTTGATGTTCCCACAGAACCACTTTAGTGTATTTAATGACTGGCATAATCAGAACTGAATCAAGTATGTGCTTGTCCATTTGTGCAGAATTTGTTATGTTAAATCACATATTTAAGAGTGAGTTTCTCTCACTCTGTAATGTAAGTGGAATTAGGAGGTCTTTTTTTACACTTCTTACCTTAAAGTTTCCTCTTTTTTATTGATCCCAGTTTTTCAAAGCAGAGTTTTCATCAGCAAAGCCATTTTGTGGTTCAGTGTAGGTGGACAGTCATCCCAAGGGATGCCATGACACATGAAAAACATTAATAAGAGACTGTGTGACAAATAGCACGAGAAGCATAAAGACTTGCCATGTCATCTATAACTCTCTGAGGATTAAAGCCATCTTTGGGTAGAGTCCCATGTACTTTCTGTTTGGGTGAAATAAATAAATAACTTAATTTAAACTTTGAGGTACTATGGATGCTAAATCTGAACCACAGTGCCTGTACAAATTACAGGCCACATAGCTCCTCAGGCTGCCTGAGAGAGTGGCCTGGGAAAAATATGAGAAGGAATTAAAACAATTCTCAGGGACACTAAACAGCCTTGCAGGTGTTGTTTTGCAATCTTGTTTTCTCTTGCAGGAGAAAGTCAGGGGGGTAGTGTGCCCCTGACCAATGATGGTGATGTAGCACTTTGCTAACCAATAAGAGTTTCCTTTCTGTACTTTCCACGTATCTGTCTATAAGACAGGCCTGAAGGAATAAACCAGAGAACTCTCGTGTTGAAACTCCCTTGAGAGTTTTGTCGTTCTTTATAGCTGTTCCCAATCGGAACGACAAGGTACAAGTGCCCAGAGAAAGAATTTGACTTTGAGACTATTTCTGATTGACATAAAGATACTTTCATACTGACAAAGATGATTCTGAGCTAAAATCCTTGAATGACTCAGTCTTTAAAGCCCTGGCTTGAATGCCCAAATAATTTTTTTTTCAGAAGGACTCTTTTGCAGAATGGTTTGAAATTAAATATATGTTCAAGATTATTTTCATTAAAGCCAAGTAAATTTGCTTTACCTACAGTAAAGAGTCTAGAGCGATATAGTGTGCTTAGTTGGAAATGCAACACTGCTGAATAAGAGGGGGTGTTGCATTTTACTCTGTAGATGTTATTTTCCAGATTTCAGAAGAGTATTTGGGAAAAAGTCTCAATAAAATGGCAACTTCTTAACATTAAATTATAATAGTTTCAATCAGAAGAAAAAATAAATAAAATGTAAAAAGACCACTCAGAGACCAGCAAGGCCAAGGGCATAGCATTAAGAAAGTTGTTAGTGTGGTATAGAAATCAAATTACTAGGATTGAGGTTATGGACTATTTTCCTCACTCCACACGTTAAGCTGTCCTTCGACATGATTTCAGGTTCACTGGTTGCATACAAAATGGGAGATAGAAGTTAAAATGTAATCCTTTTCTTACAAGTAAGAAGGAAAGGACTAAGCAATTTTCAGACCTATGTCATGAGGTGATCAAGTGTGAGTAATTACTTAAAATATGTTCATTTTGAGTGCTCATGCCCTGCAGATTGAGGGAGCAGAGGTGTTTCTTTTGTATAAATATAAAACCAGAGTCTTGTTAATCAAGTCCTTTTTAGCAGAAATAACTATTTCTTCACTCACACATGATGTAATTAATACTCCTAATTTATTTGCATATGAATTTGATAAGGACTTTAGTATTAAGATTTTCATCTATGTTTCTTGACTACTGTCTGTGTTGAAATGTAGGACGGTTTCAATTAAGAACTAAGCCAAATGAAAAAGGCTCCTTTTCCACTCAAATTTACAGAACCATGTCCCTTAAAAAAGAAAAAAAAAAGCAACATCTGCAAAAGAAGTGGGACTTGAGGAGGCTTACTCCTTGATATTGCTTCATAGTTGATACTGTCTTTTTAGGACAGAGTTTTTGGTGAGTTTTCTTCTCCCTGTTTTACTTTCATACACTATTATTATTAAAAGAGGCTCGATACATATATTTATATATAGGGTATACTGTGTGTATATATATATATATATATATAGGGTATACTGTGACAGGGAGCACTTCTCGTTTTTTTCTCTTTTGACAAAATTGCGTCAACACCTTTTGTTACCAGGTAAGTCACAGCCTGACCCTGCTGGTTAAAAACACAGAGACATTAGCACACAATTCCACACTTGTTTGAATTTTTGCACAAAAATGCATATTTTTACTTCATATGGTGTCATGAACACATGAGGACACAGAAGGAGAAGGACAAGTATAGTTTTTAGCCAGCAAAAGCACTTAGAAAGTTGATGAGTTTTAGGGAGGCTTTTAAATGTATATAAGGAATTGCAACGCCCTAGGAATATGGGCAGGATTGGTTTAGTTGAAACAGTATAGGAAGGACTCTTTGTTAAGAACAAGAAAAGCTTCTTTCTCTCTCTTCTACTGCTGAGGCAATTAAGAACCCTGTATATTTTTATGCCCCCCAGAGCAACAGTGTTTTATTGATAGAATGGACTCCTGTGTAACCCCAGCAGCCCCTGTGGCGTGGCTGACATCAGCCTGGCCTGCAGCTCGGAATCGGCAGGGCTGGCTTTAAACCCAAACAGCAGCGCTGCAACTTGCTGCAGACTGTGACATTTACTCACGTTATTATCGCCAGCCAGAGAGGGGCATGGCAGGGAGGATCTGCTCTTTCTGTGGCTCTGTGTGCCGGGCCCCAGGGGCAGCCTCTGCCGCTGTGAAGGATGCCAGCTGGCCGGGGCTGTGTGGGGAAGTTCTCCCGGCCCAGAGCACCTCCAGCCCCGGTTCCGTGTGTAGGACCGGCGCCATGGGGCCGCTGACCCCCAAGGGGAGGTGGCGGGCTGAAGTAAGCTGGGATTTGGAGACAAACCTCTGCAGAGCAGCCCCATTTCGTCTCTATCGTCAATATTTATCAGTTCTGTTCCATCTTCAGGGGTCTTTCCAACATGTTTTAAATATATTTTCCTTCTACAGACCGCAGTTACTTGAAATGCTTCAAGAAAAGTGATCTCTTTCATGAAGTGACTGAGATGACTTGAAGTGCCAGAGTTTTGCTCAGAGTGATGACAGCCAGCGAGGCCTGCTGGGACAGCGCTCGGGCCGCGGAGCGGGCTCGGCACTCACCGCCTGCAGGGAGCACAAAGGCTCAGGGTTACCACTTAAACACCGGCATTTTCTCTCCATCGTTCCTACACACACGTATGAGTACATTCATTATTTGTATCAGCACGACGGGGATTTGGGGAGCTGGGGAAAGTGAGACTGAGGAGTTAAATCCTAATGGGGATTTCAGGGCCTCAGCTGGAAAATCTCCACAAGCTTGGAGCAATCAAATGCAGCTGAGGCCAATTTAAAACAAAACAAAACAACATCAACAAAAATCTATCTGTTCTCATGGCAGGGGGATTTGCAGAGCTGTTGCTGAACAATAGGTCTCAGGATATAAAAGACATGCTCGGAAGTTACCCCTTTTTAAGCACGTTAAGGTATGTGGTGGGTAGGGTGTCTGTATGTGCAAGCATGTGTGAGCAAAAGACGGGTGTTTGTTTGAGTAAGAAACCCAAAAATAAACACATAACACTAGAGAAATTTTTCACTGTTTAAGTAGAGTGCTATCTGATATTTCACACAGTGGTTATTTTCTGGCTTTGCCGTAAAACCAGCAGGATGAGTGAGAAAAAACCTCTGCCTTTTTTTTCCCCCCCTCAAAATATGTATTTTCTTTGACCAGTGAGGCATTGTTATCTCATATTAGGTTTGTTCAGGATGTCGAAATTCACTTTCTTTTCTTTTTAATTTCCTAATTAACCTTTCTTATAAATTTTGAGACTAACTCTGAATTGCATTTAGTAGCTTTCTCATGAGTTGTTGATGTATTTAGGATTTGACGTTTGGTAGGCCGAAATCAGTTGTGTAAATCCATGGATATTTGTTTTTTTGTTGGTTTTTTTTCTATCAACTATATCTACAGAACTAGCATATTTATATAAATATTTATGGCTAAGTGCCTTTTAATCTTCAGTGCCATACTTATTTAAAGTTTGCCATTTCTACTTTCAGTACTGTCTGATTTGTTAGATTTATGTAAAGTGTGTAGTAAATCTTAACACCTTTTAATTGCTTAACATCCTTTAATTGCTCCTTTTAGCAGCTCAAAAAAGTTTCAGCCCTTTTTTTTTTTGTTTTGGAGGAAAGAGACTTGGATTTTTTTGCATTTGCTTCCCTTTTTCTCTGCTTCCAGGTAAGATAAGTCTCAAGTGAGTATATTACCAATTGTATCACATCATCTTTCACTAACTTAAAATGCCCTGTATATATCATGTGTCACTGCAGATGAGAATTCAAATTTGAATATCATGGTAATTGTCCTCTGCAGAAATCTACATTCCTGATAAAATTAATATGACAATTCGTGTTCTATGTCTATTTTTTTGTTTGTTTGTTTTTGTTTTAAGGAAAACCTCATGCTATATTCATTCAAAGCTTTCTGAGGCTTTGTTTTTCCCTAGAAGATGTCCTAGATTTTATTCTTTAATGTTGTCCCTGATTTATTGAATGTCCATGTTTCCCTGGATAGTACCATCTTTTGAGTTATACATCATCGGAGTGACTCATTCCGATGATGTATTGCATTAATACATCATCAAAGCGCCTTGCTCTGCTGTTGCACTAATGATATGTTAGTATAATACATCATCAGAGTGAACTGCACTGATGATGTATTACTCAGATGGTGATGGCATTCTGTGAAGAAAAGGTTGAGGAGCAGGTTCAATACAGTCACAGGAGAAAAATTAGTCAATACAGAGTATAACTGTTTCTCCAGTAGTGATGCTGATGCTAAATTAGCACCATAGCCCCTGATCTGTACCCTTGCAGAAACACTGAGACATGCATTATCCCCGAAAGAGGAATGAATTCAGAACACTCAGCTAAAGGATTTTACAGAAGAGAGGAGAGGTGTAACCATACATATCACTGGAAAGCTAAAGGTTATATATATAGCTATAATTACTGGGTACCGAGAGATCGAATGAATCAAACGGGGCCAAAATAAGACCAAAGTGAAGATATGTTCAGTAGCTGCCTCTCTGGTGGAGAATGTGACACATAGGGAGACAGAGATATAAGGGCTATAAATATGCTGTCTGAATTAAAACAGCTGCCACTTAGAAGCCCCCAGCAGGGATATTAAAACATTGTGAGGCATGCAGGAAGTCTATGCTATAGTATTTTTTTAAACTTTAAATTAGAAAAAATTTAGACATGTTATGTCACAGGCGGAGCACCCTGTCTCAGTGCTGTGTGCTGTCCCATGATTTTCAGGTGTGTTCAGTAACAGAAATTTCTAAGTGTGCACAGTTGATACACATAGAAACAAAAGGTGTTAAAACTTTTGGGGTTCAAGTTCCTTAAAACTGTGTTTTTTGGAGACTAGAAGGACAAAGTAGTGTATGTATGACTGGAAATCCTGCAAAGTCAGACTTGTGTTATGCTGATATATTTGTAAAAGTGACACTTTATATGACTCACACTTAGTTTCTTTTACTTGTATATATCTATCTCTTGGTTTGATCTTGCGAAGGAGGTTCTGGCTCAGCTACCTTCTGAGTTCGCTTTCCAGGAAGGTGGAGGTGAAAATAGTGTTTAAATGAAACCTGTCGAGCTTGTAGAGAAGAGAGAGAAGCTCTTATTCCCAGATTATTTATCTAATGCAAGGGATAGGCTGTGACATATTTTTCTATATGAGAACAAAACATAATGCAGGTATAAAAAGTGTTGTGGCATGGTGTACATGTCCCTGCAGATCTTGCTTTCCCACCTTCCCCCTCATTCTGTTAACTGCTAATTCTCTTCTTCATTTTTGTCAGCTGTTTTGCAGCTAGTGCAAGGCAGGTTTCATGCTCCACCATTCTACATGCCACTCCATTCCTGCCCTGCACCACCTTGCAGAGCTGGGGTGGGCCTGGCATTTCTCTGGGATGTGTGGGAGAATGCCAGGCTATAGCTCCAGGAGCCTTTTGCAGAAGGGTCTGTGCACAGCTTGCTGGTGCTCTCCTTGCCCTAGGACCGTGTTTTGACTGGGCTGGCAACAGGACCAACTCCCATTCTGGGTTACTCTCATCTCTGAAACTGGGGGAGAAATTTCTGTTGTAATCATGGATTCCCTTCTGTCATCATGCAGGTGGTTCCCACACTCACCATTGCCCTCATAGTCTCCTTGATGCCAGACCAAAAGAAAATAAGAACCAAAAAGCAGCTAGAGCTGTTTTGTGTACAGTCAGTTTGAAGAGCAGCACAGCAATGAGGGTAGTGCCACTGAGGTGCAGCAGCATGGGGCTGTGCCTCCTGACAGCAGGAAGGGAACACTTGCCTGTCTGAGCAGCTTCCTTACAAAACTCTCTGAGGACTCCTACTTCTGGCTGTTTCATGCTGTATTGTATAAGCTTCCAAACCAGTCCTTTTTTCTTCTGTTTCTCTCCTGATCATCTGTCTTCTGCAACTTGCAGAAAGACAGAGTGAGAGTGGCTTAAGATACTCTTTTGTTCTCCCTCTTTTTCTTTTATTCTCCTTTTTCTCCTATTCCATTTGTTTCCCACTTCCATTCCAGCTCTTTCTTTGCATAGGTGACTGCTTTAAACTTGTATTACGTGGTCAAGATACACTTTAGATATAATTTAGCTTTGAAAAAAAACCATATTGTGGTGATTCTTGAAAAAATCACGATACTTTGTGGTGATAGTCCCAAGATATTTATCAATGCAGCAAGTAATTGTTTCTCATTATTTTCAAATATTGCTTGACTCTGCTCTCAGGAACTGAAATTGCTCTTTCAAGCTTTTATTTGGAAATGAATACTTAAAAGCTACTCAATATTTCTATCACTACTGCAGATATTTTCATAACACCCCTCTCTTGTGATCCTTTAGAGACACTTTATAAGAAACAGAATAATAGACTAGATTTTAAAAAGAAAATCAGGAAATTAGTGAACTTATTTATTATGTGTGGATTTCTGATATTACTTTGAGACAAAATAAATTTGATGGTGTTCCACAAAGTGCAAAAGAAACATTTTAAAAATTATTTTTTCAATAGCATTTTTAGCATTCAGATTTAGGATCTGATCTGCCATTTTCCATTTGTGGATTTGTACTAAAGCCTTAATGTTGCAAACATTAAGGCTTATTTAGAAAAATTGAAGATGTCATGAAAAATAACCAGGTTACCACTAGATATGTATAAAATATTACTTCTTCATCCTAATTAGTGGTAATGACTTTTAATAATGCAAGAACTAGAATGTACCCTTTGGGTCTGGACAAACTAAGGCTTAGTTTTTAATGTGGTTCATGCATATGTTTTGTTCCATCTAAGACAATCTGCCATAACATAGGACAAAACAAGATGTTCTAATTTTCTATAAATAAAGCTTGCTTTGGTTCAGATAGAAACTGCCAATTGCAGATATATACACGTTGTTCATAATTTATAAACAATAAACACTTCTTTTGGCAGGCTGCCATGCAGTTCCTTTCTGCTCAAGCTCTAAACTGTGAATGAGAAATGATGTGAAAGTTACAAATGGAATGGTTGAGGGACCTGGCAGGGTTTGAAGTGATATTGGTGCCAATCCAAATCCATGCTAGACTCCGTTAGGACAGGCCAGTTCAAAGATGCAGTACAACTTACTGGAAGTGGCTATATCAATGAAATGTCAAGTGAAATATATATAGTA